CTGCCCCCCCCCCCAAAAAAAGGAGGTTGGAGAGCAGCAATGTAAAAGCAAGGCCATCAAGCCTGCTACCCAGCCAGGCAGAATTTCTCCATAAGCCTTTTCCATCTCTTTCCTGTCCCCACCCCAGTGGTGTTCCCTTCTAGCAGAGCCAGCAGCTCAAACCCTAATCCATGCTGAACACTCACCGTGCATCTATCTTGGGATACCAGTTTGGTCTGTAATGTTTAACGGGTATTTTTAAATTGCTTGATTTGAAAGTGATCACCACGGGCTATTTCTGCTCTTTATTCGGTTTCTCTCTCTCCCCGCACCTCTCAGCAGCCAGTCAGTCTCCAGATCAAGGCGTTCACTATCCCTCGTGATTCTGTTCATCTTTCTTTAAGCCTACATCCACAATTTCTATTGTTCTTTCTTCCTGGTTCCGGAGCGACCCAGCCCTCTCTTTCAAAACAGCTATGCTGATTTTTTTGTGCGCGCATGCACGCGCCTGGCATAGCATCGCTGCTCCCTCTCCCAGCTTCTCCTTCCACGCACGCTGTTCTACTGTGACTAATGCGGGGTCAACCGCAGACCATTCTCTGAGAACTGTTACATGTCCCCGAAGAGCGAGCGATTTACTTTTGCTGTAGGACAGGATCAGACTTCAGAAACAAAGCAAAATCTTAGGAGAGGTTTGAGCGCACAATTCTCATTGCTAAGGAACAGAAATTCATTTAAAACTGTGGTCTGCGTTGAACTCCATAGATAACAAGCATTGCGGTCTTTACACCTTAAAATGTAGATGACAGTTGCATGTCTCAGGGGCATGGTGAAGGAGGCCTCATCAGAACGAAGTACAATCACTGGGTGAAGTTTATCAGTGTTTTGTAGATATTTCATGGATGTTTATCACTTACAGTATTTGTGGTTGCAGGAGTGATGGACAATATTGGTGCCTTTTGAATGTTAGAAGTCAGGATTTGTCAGGGTACTTACTGAGGCTGGACGCAAGTGCAGCCTGATCCAATCCCAATTCATACAGAGACAGATTTGATCACGGATGCCAAATCCCAAGGCTGTGCTTCAGATAAAAGAGCTGCCTATATATCATCAGTGAGAATTTTGCCAGAGTAAACTCGGTCCCAGATACATCACCGATCAACACTGGTCGACTAGATGCTCTCGGTGAAATGGGGAAGAAGTAGTCGCAAGTCAACATCATTTTGCATTTCCAATTCATTTCAGTCATTCCTAGTTTCCGTAATCAGTGCTAGGGGCTCAACAGGAGTTTTGTGTTTCTTTTAGTTTGTGTGTGAAAAGCTGCGATTTAATATTGTTCTGCATAAGTATTACGTTGCTGCTACTAGAATTTATTAGGCTACGTATAAAGGACTTAAATATGTAATGCCAGGATTATCAGTTCTACGGCTTTGGATTTCCTCACTATTCTGCCCAACAATTTATTTAGAAATAAGGAGGTTAGTTTTTTACTGTGGCCAGATGCACATTTTCAAAGTTTTGTTCTTCTCAGATTCTCAAGCGAAGCTCCCCAGACACCGTGATTTTAGGAACAAAGTCCTAGTCGTTCCAAACAATGAGCCCTCACCACAACGATGGGAGCCTGGTAAACCTCCGGCTAGGCTAAATCTGGCCCTCAAAATTCCTGCGTATTGCAAGTGTGCAGCATGCATAGCAGCATTGGATGGGAGAGTCTGAGGAGACATCTGTGCAACACTCTCAACAACCATAGCATTGCATGACTCAGTTCAGAAAGTTTGGGACCAGGTTATCGTAAACCAGTAGTTACAGCTGCAGATAGCAAGTTTGGGTCTATTTTTCACCCTAGGAGCATAAGCTTCTACAGCGTGTGACGGATGCACAGTGGTAGACCGCGGTTCTTTGTGCTCCTCAATTCCTCCTGCTGATTAATGCAGGTAATAATTCCAGCTAGTCAAAGCGATCTATTACTAAGCCAAACCTTTATGACTAAGCTTTTTCCAATTTCCAGAACAATTTCTACAAAACTTGATAGATGCAGTTCATTTTCAGAATGTTTCTAGATCTGGCTACTCCATTTGTAAAACCAAACTACAATTAATACTGCACAGCAATTAATCAACCATTGCTGTCAACAGCCATTGTTGAGAGTGTTGACTAAAAAAACCCCCAAAGCCCTCCCAGTTAAGTTCAGTGGTACAGGATTGGGGTAGATTTCTATGGGTATGGTTTTTTGAGCAATGCTGGGATCTTAACAGCAGACTCCTGCTTCACTCCCCCATTGCTAGCCAAAAAATGGGTCTCGAGGAGATTTAAAAAGGACTCGGTCAGTAGTGATCGATTCCACTGGCCAAAGCAGCAGTGCACAACAATGTAAGGGTTCGTCATGCCAAAATCCCTTTCCTTATAAACATATTTTTTACAGCCCATTCAGCCCACAGAATAAAGCAATGTTCAGAGACATTGGACCTCCCTCTCTTCCAAGCAGTGCACAACTATGAAGCCACTTGACTTGCTTCTTTTCTGAAAAAATCTGTTTACAGACTATTCGGTTTTATATAAATAACGACACGTTTGCTTTTACCGACAGTAAATAAAAGTAGTGCCGTAACGTTCGGATTGTAACCCAACGGGGGGAGCTTGGGGAAAGGAAGGAAGCAGGAAGAATCAAACACTTTTTGGAAAACAGAAAACCTATTTAAGTGCTAATTAACTTATTCAGAACACTAGGACTGGAAGCAGCAAGTTCGAGCTGTCAGAGAAAGCGCTAAAACTTGTGCATTTGCCAGTTACACGGGAAATTAAGTGGCTGCTCCACGCTGCAATTCGCTGTGACAGGGATATCGCTATGGCAACCCTCGCTATACACGACATGTGTGCCAGTGTTGGTGAAACACGCTGGTTTTTTCCTTTGAAAAGACCACGCAGTCCAGACTGATTGGAGCTGGTCAAACAGTAACCGAGCCACTAACTGCATGAATTTGGGCTGCCTTATGCAACCATGGCCACATTTGTTAAGTGCACCTGGGACCACGACCTTTGGTTTGTCTAAAAAGGTGCAAATTAGAAGAAAGGAGGAAAGAAAAAGACCTAGTTAAATTAGTGAAAAACTGTCTGTGGTTACTCTTATTTCAGTTTCAAGTGTCATTTTACTTTCAATTTAGCTCGAGTTGACTGGGGAACTCGTTAATCTACACCGCCGGAAGCTCCTCAGACCAAAAAATTACAATTGCCTGTACAGATTTGCATCCCTGAGTCTTAAGACAAAGCAAGTGTGTTGGTAGATGGGGTGGTGTCTGACTGATCACATAACGTTACTGCTTCCTGTTTGAATCATAGAAAATTAGGGTGGGATGGGACCACAGGAAGTCATCTAGTCCGACCCCCTGCTCAAAGCAGGACCGTCCCCAACTATCACCCCAGCCAGGGCTTTGTGGAGCTGGGCCTTAAAAACCTCCAAGGATGGAGATTTCACCACTTCTCTAGGTGAATGTTCAGCCTTTTAAGGAGGAGAATACAGAAGAAGAGAAAAGGGGCTTCATGATTAACTGAAAAGGTGTACAAAGGGATTCCCTTGTATTTTTGTAAAGACTGACTTTGTCTTGAGCCTTCATGAATGCTCAAGTGCACAACCCTCCTGAATAGCAGCAGACAGATGTTAAGCGTCTGATTGTCTGACCTGCTCTCTAGAAATCCAGCAAACCTTATCCGGTAGGGACGGTTCTTGTTTAGCTGGAGCTGAGGCAAGTTACACTTTTGGTTTTTTGGGGTTTTTTTGGTTAGCTCTGATTTTTGTTCTGGCAGGGGATTTATGACTTTAAGGCAAACCCTGATTTTTGGATGATGCCGAGTCTTTCCTCCCCAGTTTCAGCTGGAATTACGGGCCCTCAGCATCTCTGAAAAAAGCTTTAAAGGCTTCCCTGGTATCATTCGCAGTACAGCAACGTCAAACGGTGAAAAAAACCCAACAGACGACACCCACCACACATTATTTAACATCCTAATCCAAAAGCCTGGGAGCGGATCTCAAGCCAGCGTGGGCATGTTACGATGGTGAATTAATAAAGCTGCACTGGGTATAAAATAAGCAAAGCAAACGGCAGGTTGTACGACCAGCCGAACTAGTTGCTGAGGATTGTAGGTTCACACAATCCACCCAG